TTTTTGTAGAACTGTAGACAGTTATAAAGATACTTGTTGTGTAGAACTGTAGACAGTTATAAAGATACTTGTTGTGTAGAACTGTAGACAGTTATAAAGATACTTGTTTTGTAGGATTGTAGACAGTTATAAAGATACTTAATTGTGTAGGACTGTAGACAGTTATAAAGATACTTGTTTTGTAGGACTGTAGACAGTTATAAAGATACTTGTTGTGTAGGACTGTACACAGTTATAAAGATACTTGTTGTATCGGACTGCACACAGTTATAAAGATACTTGTTTTGTAGGACTGTAGACAGTTATAAAGATACTTGTTTTGTAGGACTGTAGACAGTTATAAAGATACTTGTTGTGTAGGACTGTACACAGTTATAAAGATACTTGTTGTATCGGACTGCACACAGTTATAAAGATACTTGTTTTGTAGGACTGTAGACAGTTATAAAGATACTTGTTGTGTAGGACTGTACACAGTTATAAAGATACTTGTTGTGTGGGACTGTAGACAGTTATAAAGATACTTGTTGTGTAGGACTGTAGACAGTTATAAAGATACTTGTTTTGTAGGACTGTAGACAGTTATAAAGATACTTGTTGTGCAGAACTATAGACAGTTATAAAGATACTTGCTGTGTGGGACTGTAGACAGTTATAAAGATACTTGTTGTGTAGGACTGTAGACAGTTATAAAGATACTTGTTTTGTAGAACTGTAGACAGTTATAAAGATACTTGTTGTGTAGAACTGTAGACAGTTATAAAGATACTTGTTGTGTAGAACTGTAGACAGTTATAAAGATACTTTCTACAGTCCCACACAGCAAGTATCTTTATAACTGTCTACAGTCCTACAAAACAAGTATCTTTATAACTGTCTATAGTTCTACACAACGTCTACAGTCCTACAAAACAAGTATCTTTATAACTGTCTACAGTCCTACAAAACAAGTATCTTTATAACTGAAGTATCTTTATAACTGCTGTGTGGGACTGTAGACAGTTATAAAGATACTTGTTTTGTAGGACTGTAGACAGTTATAAAGATACTTGTTTTGTAGGACTGTAGACAGTTATAAAGATACTTGTTTTGTAGAACTATAGACAGTTATAAAGATACTTGTTGTGCAGAACTATAGACAGTTATAAAGATACTTGTTGTGTAGAACTGTAGACAGTTATAAAGATACTTATTGTGTAGGACTGTAGACAGTTATAAAGATAATTGTTGTGTAGAACTGTAGACAGTTATAAAGATAATTGTTGTGTAGAACTGTAGACAGTTATAAAGATACTTGTTTTGTAGGACTGTAGACAAAGTTGTAAACATTCTTGTTTGTAGAACTATACACTAAGATAAGATGAGTTGCATTCAGGTAACTGATGTGTAAAAAGTGAAGAAATATAGATTTTTCCTCACAATTTACTGTTTCATTTTATTTATTTATCAATATGCATAATGAGTTGTATGATTTATCTCTTAATGATGGTTTCATTTCTGACAGTGAGTGACCTGAAAGCTGAATTAAAAAGACGAAATTTGCCAGTGTCAGGTCCTAAACCTCAGCTCATTGAGCGTTTGAAGACTCATTCTAATGTAACCCCAAGCACTTCCACAGCATCTTCGTCTGCTTTCACAAATGTTTCTTCTACTGTAAATACTAGTGGTCCATCAACACCAGTCAGTGTGGGTGGAAACTTTCTTGACAACATGCCCTCAGTTCTTCAATACACCACTGACCATGACATTAATTCAATGTCTCCTGTGGTGGGCATCGAAACAGTGACTAATGAGGTTCCTGCGTTGCCTAGCACTGAATCTAACTTTGAGATTTATCAAGTATCGAATAAGATACAACCTTCACCACATACTGATGCGATGGATACCGAGATGAACATAACACTAGATGTTGGAGAAAGTTCTACTGAAGAGGACATAGTAAGACTTCAACAAAAACGTATTGAGGAGCTCCAGTTGGAGCTTCAGAGGTTAGTATACGGTCCTATATTCAATTCTATAGTGCTTTCTTTTCAGACATTTTGATTTTTTTTTTCATATGAAAATTCCTTTATTACTATGTATTATGAGTGCTTTTTTCACTTTGAATTTGGTACAATTGATATGTGATATTGTTGTAATCCTGTGATGTATGTGATTTGTCAACTTGTATTGTTAAGATTTATTTTTAAATATAGTCTACCATGTTTGATAGAGTAGTTCACTAGGTGTTTTATATACAGTCTACTATGTTTGGTAGAGTAGTTCACTGGGTGTTATATATATATAGTCTATTGTATTTGGTAGAGTAGTTCACTAGGTGTTATATATACAGTCTACTATGTTTGATAGAGTAGTTCCCTGGGTGTTATATATATAGTCTACTATGTTTGATAGAGTAGTTCACTGGGTTTTATATATATAGTCTACTATGTTTGATAGAGTAGTTCCTTGGGTGTTATATATATAGTCTACTATGTTTGGTAGAGTAGTTCACTAGGTGTTACATATACAGTCTACTATGTTTGATAGAGTAGTTCACTGGGTGTTATATATATATATAGTCTACTATGTTTGATAGAGTAGTTCCTTGGGTGTTATATATATAGTCTACTATGTTTGGTAGAGTAGTTCACTAGGTGTTATATATACAGTCTACTATGTTTGATAGAGTAGTTCCCTGGGTGTTATATATATATATATATTATATAGTCTACTATGTTTGGTAGAGTAGTTCACTGGGTGTTATATATATATAGTCTACTATGTTTGATAGAGTAGTTCCTTGGGTGTTATATATATAGTCTACTATGTTTGATAGAGTAGTTCCTTGAGTGTTATATATATATATAGTCTACTATGTTTGATAGAGTAGTTCCTTGGGTGTTATATATACAGTCTACTAT